CTGTGAATTGACAGCAGAGAGGAGGGGCAGGCAGAGTGACTGTGTCAGAAAGCAGCATTGCTATTGTGAGAGTCTGAGGAGTATAGTGATTTCTGTACTCCCGGGGCTCAGTAAAACCGACAGTTGTAAATAAAAGAGGTAGGTCCACAAGGTAGGATGCGTCTCATTTGACTTAACACAGAAAAAGCCAGATCATTTTAGAAAGAGGTTGAATTCCTTTGGGCAGACTTTGTACAGTCCTTTTTTACAAATGAACATACATTTAAAACCATAATACATTCCCATAAAACCCCCCACCCCCTCTCTGCAATGGCCATCAGTTTTTAAACTTGTGTGCTTTCATACAATAAACTGTTTTGTGGGGAGTAAGAAACAGCTTCTTGATGACCTTCTTTATTTATATGAATGGTTTATTGTTTATGGTCTGTAGAGTCTGCTATGCAGGTAATCTTTTGTGTGTATTGATTTAGTACTTGTAAATGATGCAATGATGTCATAATTTGGCTTGCAACCACATCAGTCCTTTGAAGCAAAGGGATGGTAAATACCATTATCTTTATGTTTAAGAGGAACCTTGCTGTCATCCAGATGTTAGCTACAGAGTTACTGATCTGGATCAAGCCTACAGTTGTCATAAATGGCAGCTCTTATATTTCTAATTCTCACTGGTTTTCTTTAAGCCTAGAATTAATTATAGATAGCCACGGGGCACTAAAAAAACATGCCATGTTTCCAACCTCAATAACCCCTATTGGTATATATCTGCAGTACAGTTTTTAAATAAATAATACAAGCTCTTCTGTGGAATAAGTATCTTTGCATTACGAATGCCATGTCAAAAGATTTTCAGCTTAATATATTCTTCCAAATAAGTTTGTCAAAGAAAACTGTTAGGTAGCCGTGGCTCCATCTACTTCCAGCATATGCCAGCATTAACCTTAGGGCCTAGAAGTTAACGAATTTCATTCTATACAAATAAGTTCAATTACATGAAACACTGACAAATCCTTCTAGCTAATTTAAATTAATAATTGAAAGAATTTCATGAAAGGTAGAGAAGTATCAACAGGAGGTAATGAGTGCCCTTCACGATAAACCTCCCACAGTTTACAAATAATTATATCTTTGTGACATAAGCTTTAATAGGGTCATTTAACAAGTGTCTTGGTACTGTTTCTGCATAAAAATCAAGTTACTGTGTTCACTTTACTTTGTTTTAGCTATAAAAAAGCCAGTTGCTTTGCAAAGCTGAATTGGGCACCCTTCAGGGGAGAAAGAAATAAGTAGAAAAAGTATAAGCATTTCATTGTTCATATAATCATACCACGTTCTGCTGTGTTAAGAGTTTTCCCTGCCAAGTTACTTTGTAATCTGTTTGTGTCAGTTTGCCATAGACTGTTGTAACAACAAGCCTAATGGTCAAAAATGTTCAGTCACTTTTGATCAGGGGGCCCACTATTGACTACTACTATTTAGAGTTTTTTTCACCAGTGGGGAGCTAAAATTATCTTGTCAAAAACCAATATATGAATCAAGGATTCCATGGTAAAACGTGATAGCATGCATTAAATCCTCTAGCTAATGAACACTTATATAGCATAAAATCTTCTACTAGCTGATAAGTGCTTTCATTGGTGCAATGATCTGCGGAGAGGGACCAGTATTTGGAAAATAGAGCTATGGATTTAGAAGTGGCAGCTGCCTTTATTTTTATTGCTATCTGCGTTCTTACATTGATTTACTACATATACAACTTGCCTGGTGAAGAAAAGCAGAAACAGGGCACACTCTCTTCGTGCATTAACGTGGTGAAACACAAGTTTATTAAAATGCATAAAAGTGCATACTCACAAACCAAATGAGAGAAAACAAAGAGACAAAGAGTCAGTGGTGACGGTCCCAAATGATGGGAGACCCTTGGTGAGGTAGGCTGATGCGTTTTGGGAGACTCACTCCCTTCTTCAGAGCTAAAATGTATTTGAGACTGTCACCACTGACTCTTTGTCTCTGTTTTCATCTCCTTTGGTTTCTGAGTATGCACTTTTAATAAACTCATGTTTCATCACGGTAATGCAAGAAGAGCGTGCACCCTGTTTTTGCTTTTCTTCACCAGTACCAAGGTTTCCCGATCTTCCAAGGGCTGCACCTCAGGGAATGACAGTCACAATACCCCTAGTCAGCATGAAGATTTGAGCGCTGGTTTCATTTTTTGGATGCAACTTGCCTATTCACTTCTGAGGACTATTAGACTCAAATTGTCTGCTCAAAAGGTATACAACAGTTTTATGACTGGGGATGAGGTGGATTTTCACTGTGAACATACACATTATTTAACCTGTTCGCATTGATAGTATGCAAATATGCAATCTCTCTGTGGTTGGGCCTTCATGATAAGAGGCTGCATATATGTGTATCAAAATGTAAACAAAGCTGTGCCAAGGGAGCACATACTGCACGCTCCAGGCACAGTTACTGGCGCCTAATGGAAAGCTCCTGATCGTTATTTGCGTTTTGGGAGCTTTCCTATCATGTGACCGCTATGACAGCCAATGATGGCGGTTGCATGATCATAAACCCCACCTTCTGGCATCAGAAATCTCTTAAAGGGCTGGGAGGCTTTAGCCTTAAGGGGTTTAAAAAGTGTTTATGACTCAAGCTGTAACCTTGTAGTAAATCGGAGACATAATTTGCCTCATTGCTCCTGTTTAGCACTGCCTTGCTGAGTGAGAGTATTAATAAATGCTCACTTATGAGTTACATAGTAATGCCTATGCAATAGGTTTACTGTTTATTTACAGCCCCTACACCTCTCATCTTTAACAGCTAACTGCAACAGATTTGCAACATTCTGAGACAGATTTATCAATGAAAATGAGACCAGGACCAGGTTCAGTTCAGTTGAAATATTACTTTAGAGCAGTTGAAGATGGAATATTTGCCTCAACCTGTAGCAAATCTGTTGTGCAATCTGTCTCACTGCACCTTTTTAGCACTGTTTTGTTGAACTTATAAATGTCCCACCAGTGAATGTTTAGCGAGCAAACTTTTTAAGAGTTGCATTTAACTGTTTATCTAAAGGTAATTATTTGCCATTCATGTTTTCCTTCACATTTTTTTATTTATTTATTACAGGTACCTACTTTATATTGCCAAAAAGAATTGGGATGTCTGCCTTTACCAGCATATGAACTTTAATGGCATCCCAGTCTTAAGCAGGCCATAGACGTTGGGAAAATCGGCCATTTTTTTTTTTTCTTAAAAGTTGTAAATTGGTCATTCAGACGGCCGACGTTGCCACTAATTAAAAAAAAAAGTTGGCGGGTTTTATTCCCATCTACGGCCGTCAATTAATATAATATCGGTGTCCCTGCATAGAGACCCGCTATTATATTTGACAGAAGAAATAGATTATGCAGAAGAAGAAGAGAAACAACATTGTATCTATTTGTACTTGAATAGAAACATCTGCATCTGAAATGCATACAAATAGATACAATGTTGCAACTTTTTTTCTTCTCCATCTTCTTCTGCAAATTCTATTTCATCTTCTCCTCTTTTCTTCTATTCTTCTTCTTGATATTCTATTTCTTCTTCTCCTGCAAAATCTATTTCTTCTATTTCTTCTTTTTCTTCATAGTCAATTTATGGTCAAATCGGCCAGAAGAACGGCCGATTTGACCATAAATTACCGTGAAAATCGTCCCAGGATTGGATGATTTTCTAAATCTCTTAAAATTAAGAAAAACGGCCAACATTTTTCTCCACTAACGGTATGATTATCGGCCGAAAATCAGAAATCTATGGCCGCCTTTAGTCCGTAGGATTCAATATTGAGTTGGCCCTCCCTTTGCAGCTATAAAAGCTATAACTCTTCTGGGGATTATGTTTACAAGGTTTAGGAGTGTGTCTATGAGAATGTTTGAAGCGCATTTGTGAGGTCAGGCACTGATGTCAGACATGAAGGCTTGGCTTGCAATCTCCTCTCTAATTCATCCCAAAGGTGTTCTGTTGAGTTGAGGTCAGGACTCTGTGCAGGCCAGTCAAGTTTCTCCACCCCAAACTCGCGCATCCATGTCTTTATGGACCTTGTTTTGTGCACTGGTTCGCCGAACCTAGACACGTCCATCAGATTGCCAGACAGAGAAGTGTAATTCTTCACTCCAGAGAACACGTCTCCACTGCTCTAGAGTCCAGTGGCGGCATGCTTTACACCACTACATTTGCCGCTTTGTATTGCACTTGGTGATGTAAGACTTGAATGCAGCTTATCAGCCATGAAGGTCTCAATGCACTGTTGTTGTGCTAATCTAAAGGCCACATGACGTTTAGAGGTCTTTAGCTATTGACTCTGCAGACAGTTGGTGACTTCTGCGCACTGTGTGCTTCAGCATGCGCTGACCCCGGTCTGTCATTTTACGTGGCCTACCACTTTGTGGCTGAATTGCTTTTGTTCCCAGTTGCTTCCACTTTGTTATAATACCACTAACAATTGACCATGGAATATTTAGTAGCAAGGAAATTTCATGAATGGACTTATTGCACAGGTGGCAATCATGGTACCACACTTGAATTGACTGAGCTCCTGAGAGTGACCTATTTTTCACAAATGTTTGTAGAGGCAGTTTGGATGCCTAGGTGCATGATTGGAAACATCAGTGGCCATGGTGGTGATTGGACCACGTGAATCCAATGATTTGGAAGGATGCCCCAATACTTTTGGCTATATACTGTAGTGTATATAGCGCCATCAATTTACACAGCATTATATATATATATATATATATAATGCTCAGCGTAAATATGTACAACCCTTTTGAAAAGTAAGATTTTTAGCAATATTAACAATTTCCAACATTTTGACAAAATTGAGTTTTATATAACATTTGTTTAGCTCATTACATGAAAGTAAGGTTAATAATATATCTTAGCTTACAAAATCTTCAGTTTTACTCAAATTAGTTGATGCAAAAATGAATACACCCCACAACAAAAACTACATTTAGTATTCTGTATGATCTCCATGATTTGTAAGGACAGCGGCAAGTCTTCTAGGCATGGAATGAACAAGTTGTCAACATATTGCAACATCTATCTTTTTCCATTCTTCAAGAATTACCTCTTTTAGAGCCTGGATGCTGGATGGAGAGTGATGCTCAACTTGTCTCTTCAGAATTGTCCAAAGGTGTTCGATTGGGTTCAGATCAGAAGACATACTTGGCCACTGAATCTCTTTCACCCTGTTATTCTTCAGAAATGCAACAGTGGTCTTAGATGTGTGTTTTGGATCATTGTCATGTTTGAAAAGTGCACAAAAACCAAGGGCACGGAGTACACCCCTTTTGAAAAGTAAGATTTTTAGCAATATTGTGATGTGATGGTAGCATCTTCTCTTTCCATATAGAGCAGTATATTTATGAATTCATGATGCCATCAATGAAATGCTGCTCCCTGACACCAGCAGCACTCATGCAGCTCCACAGAAGGAGTCACAGTAGTCTTCTTTTTCAGCATGGGCCCTGGCAAATTCTAGGCAGGCTTTTTGGTGCATGGGCTTTAGGAGACCCTTCCTTTGTGGACTACACCCATGTATGCCATTCCTCTGCAGTGTATGCCGTATTGTGTCACAGGAAACAATCACCCCAGTTTGGCTTTCTACTTCTTTAGCTAACTGCAATGAACTTGCATGGTGATTTTCTTTAACCCTTCTCATCAGAAGGCGCTCCTGTTGAGGTGTTAACTTCCATGTATGACCTGGACATCTCTGAGATGGTTGCAATTTCATCCTTGTGAAATTTTTGTATCACTTTTGCTACAGTATTCTGACTGATAAGTAAATCTTTGCTGATCTTCTTGTATCCTTCACCTTTCTTGTGTAAAGAAATTATTTTCTTTCTCAGGCCTTGTGACATTTCTCTTCCATGTGGTGCCATTGCTGACAGCATGAAATGGGAAGGAGTTTTCTTTGGTAAGTAACACCCTTTTATAATCAACTGTCTGCTGGACACCTGTTTAATGAATAATTAGACTCCCCTGTAGTTGAATTCTTGTTAATTAGGATTTTGTTGTCTAAGATTTAGCTTTGCTACTAAGACTTTCATTGGGGTGTATTCATTTTTGCAACATGGTCTTGAATGAATTTGTTAGGAAGAATACTTTTTTGTGTGTAGAATTAACAAATCTTGTTTGCAATCAATGGCCTGCATTTGTGGGAGTATTTTGTAGTATAGTGTCCCATAGAAAATGTTGATTCTGAAAGTAAAGTAAAGGTTTTCTAAAAGATCTGTTGGGGTGTACTCATTTATGCTGAGCGCTATTATATATATATATATATATATATATATATATATATATATATACATACAGGGGCAGACTGACCATGCGAGCACTTGGGAACTGCCCGAGGGCCCAGGGGTCAGTAGGGGGCCCCATGAAATACATCTGGTACCTTTTTTATAGGCTTTTTTGGGTGTGCTTTGAGTGTGGGCAAGGAGACAGGAGCCCCATGATCCCCTATTGCCCAGGGGCCCCATGAGTTGTCAGTCCGCCCCTGTATGTATATATATATATATATATATATATATATACACATACATACACAGTATATATCCTGCCAGCACCTAAGAACTGTACATGTATTTTGTCCATCAACCCATCCCCCACAGTTATTACCTTTTGTATCTCTCAACCCTCCCTCTTAGATTGTAAGCTCTAACGAGCAGCGCCCTCTGAATCCTCCTGTATTAATTTGTATTGTAATTGTACTGTCTGAAATTTGGTTGTAAAGTGCTGTGAAAACTGTTGGCGCTATATATAAATATACACAGATGACATACATACATTGGAGCCGTTATACCTGCCAAAGGATTCGTATTTCTGTTTATCCAGTCCTTAGCTATACACAACTCTGTATCACAGCACAATCCTGCCTTGTGGGTCTGGCCAGATGGATATTAGCTGTTTTTTTTGCAATACATTAAATAAGGAAGAATGGGTGAAACTGAGTTCCCTTGTGAGATTTTTTTTTGTATCTTATACTCTGTACATTACATATGCCCGACTCCTGCACTCTGTATGTTACATACCTCTGACCCTGAATTCTGTGCATTACATACTACTGATCCCAGCATGCTGTGCTTTACATACTCTTGACCCCTACAAGTTACATACTCCTTACCCCTGCTCTGTGTATGTTACATACTTCTGACTTCTGTACTCTGTGAGTTACATATTCTAGACTTGTGCTGTGCAGAGCTCCTTAAGTTGATGGTTACATGGTCAAATGTTTGGGATTTTGGTCATAAGATATCTGGTTATGGAAAGAATCAACCCCTTTAGCAGAAATCACATCAATTATCATCTGGGCTGTTAGTTATGTGAGCAGTACTGGTCACACAATCAAAAGTTTAAGATTTTGGTCATATGGTGAAAGAATCAACCCCTTTAGCAGAAATCATGTGAACTATTATCTAGGCTGTTACTTAGGTGAGCAGCACTGGTGGGGGAGTGGGGAGGTTGAACCCAGACCAGCATTTTTTACAGAAAATATAAATATTTCAGTCGTAACTGGGGCCAGAGTTTTAGCTGCTGAAGCTAGGGGTAGAGAAATAGCAATGCACGATCTTCCCAATGAATGGCTGTGTAGGAGTGGGAGGGGGGGTTGTCAGCAGAAGCCTGATCATTGGAGGACATACAGGCTGTTCTTCCAGTAGACCAGAAAATGTACCTTGCTGGGATGAATGTGCTTCTATAGCTAGTTTTCTCAGTTTGAAACAGGAAAACAGGGGGACTGGCAGGATCACTAGGCATTTCACACAAAGCAATACATAGAGAACAGAATACTTTTTTCAAACAAGTAAATGGTATATCAGACCAGGGGCGGACTGACCATTTGGAAACTCGGGCACTGCCCGAGGGCCGGGGTCAGTAGGGGGCCCCATGAGATGCCCCTGGTACTTTTTTTCATAGGCTTTTTTGAGTTTGGGCAAGGACACAGGGGCCCCATGATCCCCTGTTGCCCGGGGGACCCATGAGTTGTCAGTCCGCCCCTGTATCAGACACATATGATAAATATAGGAATTTGGGGTAGGTTTGATGGGTAGAATCAATTTATTGAAACGTATTTTCTTACCTAAATTATTATATATTTTAATGAATGTCCATTCTATATCCCCATATCACTCTTTAATTGCATCTAATCAATTTTTACCTCTTATGAAATCAGCAACAACCTCAAATTACTTTAGCTACCATGCAGATTTATTCACATAAAGCTGGACTGACCTTTCCTAACTTCCAATATTATTACATTGCTTCCCAAGTAGTGGTAAGCCAAATGGTTCGGTTCGGGGAAGGTTTGGTGAACATTGCTGAAGTTTAGATGCCTAATCCAAACCTCAGTAATGCCAATGTGAAATGAATGTTAAAAATCAATAATGCCCATTTTCAATAGGCAAAGGACTGTTCATCAAATTGCATTAGGGCTTGGGAACTGTCCTGGTGAACATCACCAAAGAAAAACACCAAAGAAAAAAACATAAAAAAAAATATTTTTTGGCAGGTAGCAGCAATTTTAATAATGTTTAAAATGGAACATTAAAAAAAGAAAAATTTCTTTAAATAACAAGTCAGTGAGATGCCCTGACCCTGCCTGTGAAATAACACATCCGTGTGATGTATACACCCTACTGCAGCAAAACTAATATTTTCAAAGAAAAAAGTGACATAGTTAATAATATTGGAAAAAGACACAGGTCTATCCATTTAATTTCAATCTAGGTGCATGTATGTGTGTGTGATTTTTATTCTCTAACAATTCCCAAAGCCCTATATATTTTGCTTCCAGAGCAAGACATCTAAAACATTTTTTAACTTGTTGACACTCTCAACTAGTACCTCTTCATGGCAGAGGGAGTTCAACATTTTAACTTCTCTAACAGTAAAGAACCCTTTCTGCAATCTGAGGTTAAACCTTCTTTCTTCTAACTTCAAATTGTGGTAATGCAACCTTAGAGCAAACAGTTTATTACAGTTACTGATCTCATCTTTGATATATTTGTACATTGTAATCATAACCCCCTTAAGCTTCTTTCCTCCAGAGTAGATAACTGTAATCTAGGTAATCGATCCTCATAGAATTCCTCCATACCACTTATTCATTTTTTTGCCCTTCGCTGAATTCTTCACAATTCAACATCTTTCATGAGCATTGGTGACCAAAACCGAACTGCATATTCAAGATGAGGCCGAACCAGTGTTTTGTAAAAGGGTAGAATTATTGATTTATTTCTTAAATGTCTACATTTGTTATACATGAAAGTATTTTGCTAGCTTTTCAAGCTGTAGCTTGGTATTGCATGCTATTGCTATGTCTGTGATCTACAAGCACCTCCAGATCTTTTCCCATCATTGATTCTCCCAGGGGAGCCCCTCCTAATGTGTAATTTGCATGCATATTTTTGACACCCAAATGCATAACTTTACATTTCCCAATATTGAACGTCATCTACCATGTAGCTGCCAAACGTCCAATTTTGTTAAGATATTCCTTTAATGATGGTATATCCAACGCTGAAGTTATTTCCCTGAATAATTTGGTATCATCAGTAAACACCGAAATTGAACTCTTGATTCCAACTTTCAATTAAAAAATTGAACAGCATTGGCCTAAAGACAGAACCCTGTGGCACGCTACTCACAACTTTAGACCAATTAGAGAATGGGTCATTTATCACTGCTCTTTGGACCCGTTCTTCTAATATTAACTGCTTCCACGCCGCCGTATAGCAGATATACTTCTACACGGCAGCACCTGTGTGCAAAATCATGTATATATACATGCCCTACCCGCACTGCCATTCGTGGCCGCCAATATCAATCACTGAGTCCCTGCCAGTACCCGGTGATTACCGACAATCATCGATAGGGATGAAGACTGTTTTGTTTGCAAACAGTCTTCCTCTCTGTCAGCTTGAGCACAATGCTCGAGATGGCTGTGCACAGCACAGCCATCCAGATCAGTGTGCTTACAGTAAACAACCCCACCCCCTAGTACAAAACTCCCAGCACATAGTTATCCCTTTGATCACCCCGCACATTAACCCCTTCCTTCCCAGTGCCATTAGTACAGTGTCAGTACTTTTTTTTTAGCACTGATCACTGTATTGGTGTCACTGGGGATGTCAGTGACACCAAGTTAGTTCCCCCTCCAGTGTCAGAATGTCCGACGCAGTCCTGCTAAAAGTCGCTGATCGCCGCCATTACTAGTAAAAAAAAAAATCCCAGTATCTGTACTGCCATTTGTAAACACTATAAGTTTCACATAAACCAAATAATTTACATGTATTGGGATTTTTTATAGCGAAGACATGTAACAGAATACATTTTGGCCTAAATTTATGATGAAATTTAAATTTTTCAATTTTTTTTGCTGGACATGTTTAATAGCAAAAAGTCCAAAATATTGTTTTTTTCTCAAAATTGTGGGTCTTTTTTTGCTTACAGCGCAAAAAATAAAAAAT